GATGGATAATTACAGGGAATGTGTGGATGGATATTCCCAGGAATGGGGGGATGGATATTCCCAGGGAATGGGTGGATAATTACATGGAATGGGTGGATGGATATTCCCATGGAATGGGTGAATGGATAATTACAGGGAATGTGTGGATGGATATTCCCAGGGATGTGTGGATGGATATTCCCAGGGAAAAGGGTTTAACTCAGCCCCAAACTTCCCAAAACTCCCCAGAGAAGAAGGAGCAGGAAGCACCCAGTGAGGGTTCAATGGAAGCCCTTCCCAAGGGATAAGGTCGGGATAATCCCATTGGGATGATTCCCGGGATCCCTCACCGAACATCCAGACGTCGCTGGCGGTGGTGAAGCGGCGGAAGTTGATGGATTCCGGAGCCATCCACTTGATCGGGAGCCGGGACACGGAGGCTGGAAGGGGAATGGGAACGGGAGAGGGTGGAATTCCTCCCTTCCCGAGGAATTCCCGGCTCCTTGGGAAGGGATTCCACCCACCTTTGTAATACTCCTCGTCCTCGATGTAGCGGGAGAGGCCGAAGTCGCCGAGCTTGACGCAGTCGGGGGAGGCCACCAGGATGTTCCGTGCGGCGATGTCCCTGCGGATAACCGGGATAAATGGGATAACCGGGATAAACGGGATAATGGAGAGAGAGAAGGGATGGAGAGGGAGAGGGAAAAAGGATAAATAAGGGATGGAGAAGGGATGGAGAAGGGATGGAGAAGGGATGGAGAAGGGATGGAGAAGGGGATGGAGAAGGGATGGAGAGGGACAGGAAACATTGGGATAACTGGGATAATGGCAGGGAGGGAGGAGAGAGAGAAGGGATGGAGAGGGAGAGAGGACATTGGGATAACTGGGATAACGGCGGAGAGGGAGGAGAGAGAGGAGGGATGGAGAGGGAGAGGGGATACCAGGATAACTGGGATAACCAGGATAACCAGGATAACGGCGGGTGGGAGGGGAGAGAGAAGAGAGGGAGAGGGAGAGGGAGAGGGAGAGGGAGAGGGAGAGGGAGAGGGGACATTGGGATAATGGCAGGATGTGAGGAGAGAGAGAAAGGATGGAGAGGGAGAGGGAAAACCAGGATAACTGGGATAACAGTGGGATAACAGCAGGGAGGGAGGAGAGAGAGAAGGAATGGAGAGGGAGAGGTGACACTGGGATAACTGGGATAACCAGGATAACAGCAGGGTGTAAGGAGAGAGAGAAGGGATGGAGAGAAGGGATGGAAAAGGATAAAGAAGGGATGGAGAAGGGATGGAGAAGGGATGGAGAAGGGGATGGAGAAGGAGAGGGGACATTGGGATAACCAGGATAACAGCGTGGAGTGAGGAGAGAAGGGATGGAGAAGGAGAGGGAAAACCAGGATAACGGCGAGTGGGAGGAGAGTGAGGAAGGATGGAGAGGGAACACATGGATAATCGGGATAACAGAGGG